GGTTGCCAGTTGTGAGTTGCAGGGTGATATGGCTGCTGGCTAAATGATACCTCTAGGTCAGTTTAGTTTTTTTTTTCCAGAAGTGGTAATGTTTGGTTGAAGGCTTGAGGTTAAGCTCCATGATCCAGGCATTGTGGGTTCATGTTTTGGTCATGTTAGTAGCCTTGTGTGACCAGGATTCCACAAGAAGAGGCATTCAGCTCAATGCCACCTACAGTAGAATGGGATTAATTAACCATTGCACTCTCAACTGCTGGCTAGTCAATGAACTCCGTGATGTACTAGGTGCTTCTGGTGCTGTTAATGAGAGATGCATCCATTCTCCAGTCAGCACCCAACCCTTTTGTATGCAGCAATGTAGCTGTTGATGTACCAAAAAATAAATGTTGGGTCAGAGGAGTCTGCTTTCACTTTTGCTTTCTCCCCAAGCTGGCTGTAAGACCAGAAAACACAATTTCAAAATGGGTGATTAAACAAAAAATTGGTGATTCTAAATTTGACAAACAAGTAGCAGTTTAAGGACAGGTCAAATTGTTTTACCTTCAATTACCAAATGTAATCACCATTTTCTATGCAAAAGGGTGAAAAAGTAGGTTTCTGGACACTTTGATATCGAAAATATGATTTAGTATTAAGAGAATTTTATTTTTTGATTGTCACCTGAAGAGATTTTTGTCCTTAAATTGAAATGTGTTGTCAGGATCATGGCATTGTTTTGGGTGCTGTTCACAAGCTGTTTTGCAGTAGCAATGTACTCTATAATGTTGCTGTGACTTTAATTAAATGTGAAGATTTTTACAGTGTTTCCTTAAGGCAGCTAATTATTTAAAGTGAAAATGAAACGTTTTTGGAAACAAAAAAGTTTTAAAAAATGTTATTTTACATCAATTTTAGTTTTTTTTTACATGTGAAACACGGGTTGAATGACTGCATTATCCCTGATTTGAGACATTAACTGCTAACCTCAAGCACCCAGCAGGGAGTTCCGAGCAGAAATATTTTTCCTTCAGTTTTATTGATACTGAAGGAATTCCAAAATCTGGGAAGCGAGAGGCCTGTGCCCCAAGTTGATATTTTAAGTGGTCAATACCATATCATACAACCAGTCATTTTGACATGGCACACTTGTGAATATAATAGTGTCGGAAATGCTCTCACTTTAATATGGTTTGAAACCATTTAGAGTTGTATGTTTGTCTTTTGAAACATTTTTAAACACCAAGCTTTTATGGGAATTTCACCAGTTATGTTATTTGCTGTTTTTCCATGTAGCATGTAATTGAACGCTGATTATTAGATAGATAAGATAGATAATACTTTTTATTAATCCCGTAGGAAAATTGATGATATTAAGTAAGCCATATTAAATGCTTCTTGACTTCCCTTTCCTTTCAGTTTAGAAACCAATGCTTTTTCTCCACCAAGAACCATAGTTACAAGATCCAAGTATAAGAATTTATGGGCCCTTCTAATATTCGTACTGTTGATGAAACATCTTTTGTTAATAGAATAAAGGTATTTCATATAAGTAATAAACTATTTCTTATATCGTGCCTTTAAACATGGATTGTCAAAGCACTTTACAGTAAAACAAAGCAAAAGAAAAATACATTAAATACACACACAATGAAAGTACAAATGAGAGGGAGTAGTGGAAGGGGTAATGGAATACAGTAGGAGCAAAGGGGCACACAGAACAGGTTAAGTAAAATCCCTTCCAAAAAAAGGTTTTGGGTCTTAATTTGAAACAGCTCAGGGAAGGTGACTCGGATATCCTTTGGGACAAAGTTCCAGAGCTTTTGGGCACAGCAGGAGAAGGCCCTGTCACCCACAGAGTGTAGATGGGCTAGGGGGACAGATAGGAGTCCAGATTTTGAGGAATGAAGGCTGTTTGATGGGGAATAGGACTGATAGTGGCTCAGACAGATGCTGAGTTGCTAAGCCTTGCAGAGCCTTAAAGGTGAGCATGAGGATATCGAAGTTGACATAAAACTTAATAGGAAGCCAGTCAAAGACTTCAGGGTAGAAATGTGATCACTTGTTCTAGACCTGGTCAGGATTCTGGACATACTGTAGTTTGTTCAAAGTGGATTTAGATACCCCACCGAGTAGAGCATTACAGCAGTCAATTCGGGCAATTTGAGAGAAGACGAAAGTGCTGACCAGCTTTCAAGCAACATTAGCGACAACATAGGATGTAGACTGGCAATATTGCTGAGGTGGAAGAAAGATCTTTTGAAAATATTTTTCACATATAGGTCAAGCCTGGATCAAATGTCACTCCAAAGTTCTTCAATTTTGACTGAAGCTCAAGTATAGAACCATCCACAGACAGGGTAACTGCACTGCCTTTAGATTATATTATATTTAGTTTATGTGGAGTGCCAATAAGCATGACTTCAGTCTTTTGAGTTATTCACGTTTTTGTGTCAAGATGCAATTAGAGAGAGCATAGACAGTCACATCAGTGACAGGTTTAGAGTGGATGTATCAGAATAGCAATGATCATATAGACCATGTGATCTTAATAACTGCCCAAGTTGGAACATGTACTGTAAATACTGAAAAGTAGGAGGCCCAGTATTGAGCCCTGAGGAACACCAGATTTAAGGAGACTCGTTTCAGAGCTAAAGCTTCCAAGAGAGACAAAGTGACAGCATTCACTGAGGTAAGACTTAAATAATTTAAGAGCAGTATCAGACACAAAGTCTCAAGATGAGAAAGTAATATATCATGGTTAACAGTGTCAAATGCCGCATTGAGCTCTAGAACAATCAGAATCAGAAGCCATGAGACGATTGTGACTTTAATAAGGGCAGTTTCTGTGCTGTGAAGTTGTCGGAAACCAGATTGAAGGGGTTTGAAGAGGTTATTTGCATTGAGATGGTTATTTAACTGAATTGTAATAGTATGTTCCATGGAAAGTTGGATATAGGGTATGTGTATCTTTAAGATATTTAAGGTGAAAATGAGTAAAAACAGTCCTGTACACACTACTCTTCAACTGTTTGTTGAAACTAATGATTTAAAATCTCTCAGGTTTGGTTTACACTAAAATGGCTATTTTAGCAATCCCAAAATGAGTGTTAATTATTTTTCTTCAACAAAAGGTAACTTTTTAAGGACAGTGTTGCCTCACATGACAAAATAAGCCTAAATGATGTGTGTAAAATAAAAAAATATATATAAAATGTCACTTGGCAGGGACATGCCCCAGGCCTAAAATTTTGAAAGGAGTAGTCTGTCTTAAGAGATGGTTATTTTGACATATTTCTGAGTGCATGCAATAAAATGAGTGCTTCTGTGTTTGACAAAGGTATTGTCAAAGGGTTGGGTGCTGACTATGTATTCAGCCTAAACATAAGATTAATTTCCATTAACAGTCATCAAGCAGACTTGGTGTTAATGAGTTTTTAATACATCAGCTTTTCTTTCTGATTATGATTCTTTAAAGGATTAAAAAGTAATGTATGAAATATTTCTGAAATTAGTTTCTGGGTGAGAAATGAAGGACCAGCTTCAGCAGCAGCATTGGTAGTACCAGATACTTGAAAGACTGGAAAATATGCTATTAACATGGAATTTTGATCAATATAAAGATATATTTTGAAATTGTTTTGTGGGTCTTGAAACATGGCATGGATGTTTAAAATTAAATTAATCTTTTATTTAACCAGATAAGTCAAAAACAAATAGTTATCTACAATGACCATCTGCTCAGCATTCCTTTGTTAAGCAGAGCACTTCCCGGAGTAATTTGAGTGAAGTGCCCTTGTTTAAGGGTCCAATGGCTGTGGCTCTACTAGGATTTGACCCCACAGCTATCTGGCTCCGAGTCCAAAGTCCAAACCACCCCATTGCCCTACTGAATCCTTCTGCAATTTCTAAACAGTCTTATGGACACATTGCTCATGAATTATTCGTATTCACCTTAATTGTTTGCTTTTAAGAAGTACAAATCTCTGTTGCTTTTACTACTTTTAAATTTGAGGATATGGATACTTTATATTTAAAAAATAGCCTGTGGACAAAAGAGCAGTAACTGAGATGACAACTGTCTTGTTGGTTTTAGAAGATAAATGATATGCATTTATACATTTTATACATACTCTTTATACAATCATTCAGGATAAATGTTGCAACTTAAACCAAAGCATTATCTGATATAATGGTTTGTGTATTTTTTTCAGAGGCTTTCTCTTGATATTTGTGCTCATTCTACAAATGTTAGAATTCTAAACTTAGCCTCTTTGATGCTTTTGCAATAGAAGAACAATTGCAACGTTTTCTGAGAAAAGACTTAACTGTGCAGCAAATACCTTGATGTCTTATTCAGAAGTCCATTTGTTATTGACTTGGCATAAGTAAATGCATATTGCTAATTAAAATTTGTCATCAGCAGGGGAACTAATAATCACAAGTCACAGTATAGTGTGGGGGTCAAAGCAATGGTACTACTCTTGGAAGTAATACAAGCTGCACACAGCTGTCTTGTTCACTGGTCTTTGAGCCCTAGATGCTACATGTCTTCTCAGCTCATCCCTCCAGTGCTCAATGGGGGCATCCATGGTCTGCATGTCTGCATTACTCTCACTGATGTCCATCACAGTTGTCCATGCCAAATCTTGATTCTTTGCTAAAGTGGATTTATACTCTGTTGTTGGTGAATCAACCTATGGTGTTGCTTGGGCACAAAGGCATTTTTGTCTTGATAAGGGGGTATATTAATTCCTTTCTCTTGTTTATCTTTTTTCAACAGGCTTGTCATTAAACTGTTTAAATCACCCATTTTCAACTATGAGCAATCATTTATGGCTAATGAGGTGATTTAGTGCTTACACAACAAGGTCATTCAAATGCATCAAGATCAGTGAATGTTCAATTAATCAGAATGACTACGGGGACCCTGAGTCAATATCCAAAACCCATATCATTTAAGTTTATATCATTTATTAAGTGTTCAGTTGCTTTTGATGCTTAATATATTCTCTTTTAAACAGGTTGCACCATTTCCCAATACTGGATTTATAAATGGCTTTACAACATCTCCTAATTTCAAGCCGGCTACATCTCCTTTGACTGTCAGGCAGTACTCTCCCAGGAACAGGTATGTATATTTTTTTTAATAAAATTACTGTGCTCTCTAGTGTTTCAGAATTTCTGTGGATGAATCTTATTTAAGGGATGAAAAACAGAAATTAAATCTCAGTTTTATACGGGCCCACTGCATTCTATTAAGCAGCTGTTTCTTAATGGCGGGACTTGAGTTATGTTTCTTCTCATAGAACTTGTAACAGTAGTTGCATAGAAATCTAAACAAGGAAATCCTTTTATCGTTCTTTTGCTGTAGTAACAGTGCTGTTGTAAATTTTTACAGGATTAAAAACTTCGTCTTTTTTATAGGAATCAAAGTAAACCTCATTTGCGACCTGCTATACCTAATGCAGACCGTGGATCAGGGCTCCTGGACAGTCCCACTATTTTTAACTTCCCCACTGAACGCCTTCTGAACGGTGTGCGCAGCCCTCAGACCCGGCCCCCTGGCCAGAACAGGACGCGGTTACAGACCAGTATTGGCTACCCCAAGAGGGACATTGGCACAGGGCGGGTAGAGCCCATCAGTGCCGACTGCTCACCGAGCATGGGCAGGGGAAGGTAAAGCGCATTTGATTTGCTTCCTTAGCAAAAATGAGTTTTTTTGTACCTGATACAATGATCTGTATGTGTGCTTGCTTGCATATTGTATGACGTGTTCAGCGGAAAATCTAAAACTCTGACATGTATGTCCCTGAACACGTCCGTGTCAATATAGGCAGCTTTACCGGCGTGAACCAGCCAGAACACAAAGCACAAAGCCGTAGAGGCAAACAGTTGTACCTGGTTGCTTTGCCTAGTGCTTCATTCAGGTCTGACGCAGCCTTCTTATTCCCAATGATATTTGTACAGTGGGAGTTTCAGTGTCGTGGTAAAGTAGAACTATGTGTAGACTATGTGTACTCTTTTTGATATGGCAGGATCCTGTACTGTTTACAAGCTCCTGTAAGTTTGATCATGTCATGTAAAAGTATTTTTGTTTATCTGACTTTTTAGTATAAGTCTTAGAAAGCAAATTATCACTCTTTTTTGACAATATCTTGTTTTATCAATCAATAAACATCAGTAGCTTGATTTGTTTTTGCTAGTGTTGAGCTGTATGCACATTGTTTCATTTCTGGTTATATTTAATTTATCCACTATTGTTTCATATATACATTTAATAAGTGCCAGTGTCAAGCTCTGTTGATAAAAGCACTGGCAGTGCAGACTGAACCCTTCAGTCTGGGCTGTGTCATTAATTCAGTCTTGCCCTGGACTTGTGGTGTAGTTAGTGAGAGAAGCATTTGTCCTCCAGTCAGTGCCAGCCCTCCTGCAGACACTGCACAGTGATGGATGGCTGCGATTGGCCCAACGAATCATGTACAGCTCATGACAGAAATGCTGTCATCTCTCCTGGAACGAATGTTGTAGCAGTAACACTGAAGAGGTTGAAAACCGTGATTCAGAATATAGAGTATGAAAATAAAAATATTTTTTAAATAAAATTCCAAGACATTAAGAACTAATTTCTCATATGATTTGTTTGTTTTTTAGGAAAAATGTATATGGATATAGGAAGAAAAGGGAGGACAAATTTACGGTAAGTGCAGTGTGTAAGTGAAATTAGAAATCAATGGATTTGGTTAAACTGCAGAATTAAATTCGCAATCGTAAGAAGATTAACTCGGATACTTCTGCAGAATGTAGGCAGGTATGTGATGCATAACTGAATGCTGTCAATTTCAGATAGTCTTTGTAAATCACGTCAGTTGCCCCTGTCTTTCTACTTGCTGGAGAACAGTGGAATTATTCTGACTCTTCTACAATAGCAGATACTGTGAAACTACAAACCTTCTCTCACTGCAGTAGCAGTTTGCTCATTTTCCCTAAATTGCTGAAGAAAGCACTATTCATTGCAGCATTGCAATTCAGTCATAAACATTGCATTACATAACTTGACACGCAAAACCGTTTCAATTAAATTATTTTAGGACTGCAAATTGGTTTGGGTTTTGATTTTATGATCACTTTATTCCTGGAAATGAAAGTCAGTACAGTGCACTCACTGTCCTTGTATGTGTTTCTGGCCTGCACAGAGAGTTCCAACACAGTCTCCTCCACCTCAGAAGCCTCCCTCTCCGAGCTTTGAGCTGGGCCTTTCCAGTTTCCCTCCTCTGCCTGGTGCTGCAGGACACTTAAAAACCAAGGATGTGTTTGGGAACAGACTGTCAAATATTGTGATAGGAACTTCAAAAGACAAGGTAACTGGGACACCACAACCACCATCCATTTACATTTTGAAAACAAATCTCTTATTTCAGATTTAAACCAAGTTGTTGTTCTCGTAAGACTTTTTGAGAAAATGGCATTAGTTCCAAGATTGATTGACTGGTTTCAAGATTTTAAAGAAAACAGAATTCCATCTCTAGTGTAAGAGTTTACTTTTAAAGAAACAATTGTGTGTCAAAATCCATGTTTTGACATTATGCATTTAAAATGTTCTATTCTTAAATATTCAGCACACATATGTAAGGAGTGCAGTGCATATTGTGACTAAAAAGGCAACTTGAAAGTTTGTCTGTTTCATACGTGTTTAGTAGATAAAACAGAATCTAACCATAGAGATCCAGTGTAAAACAGATGCATCCCTTATGTTTGAGTAGTATTCTGCTGTCAAAGTTGTACCAGCCTGGGCATGTGTGGGCCAGTTTTGGCAGTATTCTGTAAACTGGAATACACCTTATTGTAATATGAACTTAATTAATGTAGATATTAACTGAAGTTTGGGCATGAGTCCCTTTATGACGGTTACTATGTTGGTGACCAAGAGGACTATACTCATAAACATTAAGATCTTAGTACATCTAGTGGTCAGAAGGAGACTTGGTATTCACAATGCTCTGAACAAAACGGGAATGCAAATCATTCTGTTCATTTCCATCACGCAGGATAAGACAATAAAAATAACTTTCTGAGAAGTTGAATAAGTCTTAACTGTAATAGTTCCATGCCCAATTGTATTAGTTTTATACAGTGCTTCACTAAAGTATTCTGACCCTTCCTGGGGTATCCTGTTTTCTGAAATTACAAAATGATGCACCCATATATTTGCAACAAAATATTTTTTTCAACACCTGAATGTTGGAACTGAAGACTCCTTAGGGTAACATACACCTCTAAGGGTAACAAGTTAGACTAAATGTAAGCAAAAACTAAAGAGACAATGCTCGAATATGTTGAGTGTATAAATATTCAGACCCATGAACTCAATTAGTGAAACCACGTTTGGCAGCAGGTAGAGCTGCAAGTTTTTTTTTTGCTTTGCATAATGGAGTGGTGCCGTTCTTGCCCATGTTTTGTTTTTTGTTTTTGCTTTGAATGTGTGGAGTACAGTGTATACAGCAAGTATTAATCATTGAATACATTTGCCAAGCACTTGCAGGTCTTTTTAAGTCGGTAGCACCAGAAGACATGGAAAATCTACTGATCTACTCCTGTTAAGTCAATAAGTGGTGTGCTGTAGCAATGATATAACAGGTCTTGTCTCAGACTTAGAATAGAGTGACACATAGCACCTATGCTTTCTACCCTTAGAGGAAATTTACCAAGACGGGTAATGGGCTGTTTCCAAAAGATTCCATTTTTGTTTTTGTTCTCCTTTCTGTGTTGACATTTTTCAGCTTCCTGCCCAGGAGTAAAATTGGTACAAATGACCTATGAACGAACTTATCCCGATATTGGCTGAATTACATTTTAGGGGAGATTCGATAACTTCATATTCATTCTTTTCAGGGAACATTGGCTTTTTGTAGTGTTGTTATAAAAAAAAAAAAAAACACCTTATAAACCATTTTTGTTTTGTTTTTTCCAGAATGTAAATGTTGATGCCACTACCAACACTATCCCTTCAGGAATCTCTAAAGAGCCATCACTGCCTACAACTTCCCCACTGCCAGTGAGCTTTGAGGGCTCTCCTTCACCTCCCCAGTCTCCGGAGTAAGATTCTGTAACTTTGTCTTTACACATCGTCACTTAATCTCTGTTTGTCTACAAAGCGCTTACAGCTTTGTTCATTATGAAGTAATTTCTTATCAATGAAAAAACCCTAACACTGTCTAACTGTTAATATGAAGATGTTACATCACATCTTAAATAATTTATAAATGACCTTATGGTTGAATTACGTTTCAAATCACTCTTTACTCAGAATGTTGTTGAAACGAGAAGTAACAAGAAAAACTTGAAAGGAGGCGTGAAGTAAGAATTACAAGAAGCTGACATTTATAGAAATTGCTGTCTTTCTGCAGTTAAGCATTTCTGTCATGCACTGCTTTGGAAATGCTATATAATGCCATTGACCTGTGCTTCCAATGTAGGTTGTTTTCACTTGTTACACTGCCACTCTTTTCGATTGTAACCTTTTATAGTACAGAATCAATTATAACACAGTAGGGTTTTGGCTCCCATTTTCCCCATAATGCAGTTTGACTCTCAGACATCTGGTGGGCATTACAACTAGACGCTAAGACGGAAATGGGCTTCAAAACTAGACTTTAAAAGTCAAATATTTCTTGTTCAAATTGAAACTCCATGTTGTGGCCAGAATGAGAAAAGGTGAAATACTAGCAGCAGTTTCTAAAGACGTGTGTGGTAGCACATGCACCATGTGAATGACTAAAAAAGGAAGAAAAACAGAGGTTTTCATGAGCAGCTTGAGGACCGAGAAAGCACCACAAAGTGAATTAGATTACTTCATGCATTTTCTCTCCTGTATCCCTGTCACTGGTCTGCATGCGAGGAAATAAAATGTGCAGATCTCAAAGCTTCCGAGTCATTTGAGGAAGAATTAGAAATACTTTAGAAATATATAAATATGATGAAATTAGCATGTATAAGCTTCTGCCACAGACATTTTTAGGGGTTTTGTTAAACACAGCAAAAAAGATAAATTAAGTCATTTTAAAAGGACAGAGATACTTCTTTTCTGCATTATCAAGAGCTATCAACTGCAAGCTACACCACTGATGTGATAACAGGAATGTGTGAATGACAGCATACAGATTTGATATTTTCAAAAACCTTCATTGCATTTTGAGGAAAAGGTACATATGTCCTTCTCAATCACCGGCCTTTACACCCCAAAACAGGAAAAAAAGTCAGGATAGCAAATAAATTCTTGCAAGGAAAACTATTTGTTGAAAATCCGGTCTATACAAGAACTTTTAAATTTGAAAATGTGGTGCTCTGCAGGCAGTTCTCAGTAGTGGTAAACTACTAACTTCCTCAAAGGTTTAAACGTATAAGAAGTGATATGCTTATGCATCTATTCCACTGGGGTGGTATTTAAATGAATTTGGGCACTTGGCTGCTTTGTCATGAAATGAATTACAAGACTTTTGGATTCCTTCAATATTGCCTTACATTTAAAGCAAGTGGAGAGTTCAGGTGGTAGGCTGACTAACGCGCATGTCTTAAAAAGGTAGCGTAATGGTTCTTCAGTCTGATCCAGCCAGGTTAAGTTAAGTTACTATATTGTAATATTTGAATCTGACAGCTTCTGCTTCCCAGACCCTCTGAGCACACATTTTTAAGGATCTTTGCATACATGCTGTATATTTGCAGAGGATGTATTTCAAGCTTTGTAACACTTTGCTCTTTTGCTTATGTCTTACAGTGAAGTTAAGGTGGAGGAAGAGAAGCAGAGCGAGGCACAAACACCCGTTGAACGACTAACTGCTACCTTCACCACCACTGCAAGTAAATCAGTTCAAGTGAATGGTGCAGCTACAGTAAGTACTGGAGCTTATTGCTTAATCTCTTGCATAAGTAGCTCTTGCCTTTAATGTGTTTTGACTTTGTAATTATGTGATGGAATCGGAAAGGGGAAATGGTTTGCAAGAGCCTGAGGAATATTTTAAAAATCACATCCTCAGATTTATTCATCTTAAGATTCCACTCCTCATTCCTCTGTGGTATTTAGAAGGAAGAAGCTGAACGTTGTGACAATATGCAGTTCTAGGAAAAAAACAGGAAATTTCTACTATTTTCTGTGACTTGAATGATATAAAAATACCTGTTAGTATTGTCTTAAAACACTTCTTCATGTTGCAGACAGGCATTGTTGACAGTATGAAAAACACTGTGGTAACTGCAGTATGACACAGGTTTGACAAATTTGATTTTATTCATCTAATTCAGCACCGCTTTGCCACACACTGTCCAATTCACTTTAAAGTTTTAAATTCTTTACTTCCTGCCTCTGATCACAAATGCAATCCAGATGTGAGATTGGAGAACAACAGAACAGTGAGTGTTCTCTGGTCTCATTGATTTTCCAGATGCTATTTTCTTTGATGAACCTACTTGGTAGATGTTGTCAGGGTCCTAAAGTCAATGATATTAAACTGGGTATTCAGGATCTTCACATAGCTTATAATGTCTCATTTATGCTATTGTGATTTACCCGTTAAGTATAGTTAAGTCAGATCTGACCTTACACCAAGTCATAAAATGTAAACTTCATAACACAGTTGGCCTTGGGCCATTAAACACATCATAGTTTTCTTCAGACACAAAAGACTAAGTGTTATTAGTTACTGCTGAGCTGGCAGTGACTTGCACAAAACTAAGGTTATGCCCATGAAGAAATTCTTATGTCGGTATGATCTTTAGAAACTGTTATGGTATTAGTCACAAGGCTTTATTAGAATAAATCTTAGATTATAAGTGCAATAAATGATAAGTAGTTAAAAAGACTGAAATTAGTCTGTAATTGAGGTCTAATTTTTTTCTCTGTTATGCAGCTAAATTAGTAATGAGAGCTCATTATTTGCAGTAGCACCTCTTTGTTCATCTAAAAAAAAACACAACTCAAAACCTTCTACTTTTACTTTGTGTTATATTTTATTGTATGAGTCCAGAAATATCCACAAAATGTGTAATTGCAAAATGTTCTGTGTGCTGTTTACATTATATGGCACAGTTCATCACTTAGTTATGTGTATGTGATATTAAATCTTTTGTTCTTATTGTACTAATGATGGAGAAAAACAACATTTCACATTAAACACCTGCCTGCAGATTTGTTGAATTTCAAGATTGAAAAATCCATGATTGGTTGGGTTAGAAACAAGTATTTTATTTCATGTGGCAGGTAAGTTCTTAGGTTAATTCTTCATGTTAACACCATTGCACAAAAATAATACTGCAGTGTGTGTGTGTGGGATCATGGTAGATCAGTCTGCGAAGCAGAAACTTTTCAGTTTCCCTTTACTGTTCACCATTTTTAATATTTGGCATTTTAACTTTATCAAGATTGATTTTACAACTATTCTTTTTCATGTATTGTACCAACATATCCCAAACCAGTTCTCCTTAGATGTTTAGACCATTAATGTTTCAAAACAGTTAGCAGCACCAGTTAGTTGCATAAGGCTACATTTGTTGTGAAAACTGATATTTACTGTTGATCCCTTAAGGAAAGGTTGTGGCTTAAATTTCATTTTTCACATTTGCATGTGTGGATAATCCGATATTAAAATAATTTGAATAGCCTGCAGTCTGTAGAGCTTCTTTATTTAGCATATGTTCCGGATTTACTAAAAACTGTCTTTTGTCTGGCTTTCTCTGGACTCTGACTAAATAATGATAGAAATCTAACTGCGGATTTGTTAAACTTATTTAACCTTTGACTTGTTTGACCTTTTCTCTGAATTTTCCCCTTTTTGTGATAGTTATACCAAGGTAATGATCCTTAATAAACTGTCACCAGTGTATTTAAATATGTATAATTAATAGTGATTTTTTTTTTGCTGACCAGGAGCTTCGAAAACCTAGTTATGCAGAAATTTGCCAGAGGACAGCAAAAGACGCTCCAACACTACAGCCTCCAAAAGAGCCGAAGCCAGCCGGTGCCACTGTTGTGAGCGATGACAGCGCTGGCGAGAAAATGGAGTCCAAATCTCGAGAGACATACTCTGTGAAGGCCATTCCAGGAAGATCCAGGGAAGTGAAAAGACAGCCCGGGCGGAGACCCTCACCACCGCCCCCCCTACAGGGACCTGGAAAACGCCCCAATAAAGATCTCAACACCCCCCCCAAATCTCCCCAGTAATCACTGCAGGGATCCAATCTTAAAAAGGGTCAGGGCTATCCAATGTTCAAATCCCAGAGTCACCAGTCACAGCATAGAGGATGTATTACTGGTTCAGGGCTTGCAGAAAAAGACACTTTTAGTAATGTAGAGCACGTTTCTTTCATGTTTTTTTTTTCTCTATTTTATTTAGTGTTGAGGGGAAAACAATTTATTATCTGTTCCAAAAAGTACTGCAGCCAGCTTGCAGGATTAAGGGCTCAGTCTGAGGAATGACCATTTTTAGTCAGTTTATAGTGGATGTCCAAATATGAAATGAGGCAAAGATGCTGGATAAAATCTTGACTGGAGGAGTGTTGAGTGTACACAACGTTTTCTGTTTGACAATTTCATTGTCTTATGTGTAATTTATACGAGAGGCTCTTGGAGCAGGGTAATTACAACTCTTATCATATTCTTGGTTTTACATTGTTTTCACATGTAAGGTTGAGTATTAGAGCTGTTTTGGCTGGCATGAGCTACTAAATAAACCCATTTTGTTTTCTTAGTGCTTCTGCAACTCTTTAAATAGTGCAGGAATACTTTTCGCCAACAAGAAACACAATTTTCATTTTAACACCAGTATATTGATATAATATACTGTGTAATGGTAATGTGACTGGCAGAAATGCTTCTTGTCCCTTATGCCTCTATGCATGCAGGTTGTTTTGACAGCGCCTTACATAGGTTTGGATATAACTTACACTAACTGTCTGGTTGGTCTGCAGGTAACTAGATCTAACATATACAAAGCACACAATGGCAGTGTAGCCTCTTGGGGAGGTTGTATCTAGAGTCAGTAGAAACCTACATATATCTTCACAAAAGATACTTATCACATAGACTCAAGATGTGCCCATGGTTTCAGATGATAAGACTTTTTTGTTGTAAAAAGTCCAACATTACAGCCACCTCTGATCTGCAGGCACATATGACACAGGCAGCAAAAAGTTATCTATGAAGTTAATGCTGTTTCTATCAGACATTGATGGGGTAGGTGAACACAGTGTGTTTGAAATATTGACTGTCACAGATAGGCCCTTATGCGTATTTAGTAACAGTGCAAAGGATTATACTTGGAGCATATTTTATTGATTTCATAGTGTGATATTTAGGAATAGGAGGCATTTTTTCCCCTAAAATTAACTGTCATCTTTTTTTTTTTTGTCTGATCAAAAACAGACTGGGTGTTTTCACAGCTGATAAGGGAGCCTAAGCCTAAAACTTGAAGTCTCTGAATTTGACATTTGATTTTTCATTTATAAAAATTATGCAGTTTGCTTTGGCTTTCATTAATCTACCCCTTTTCTGTAGTAGCTGTCATTCTCATTTTCCCCCCTACATTTTTATGTCAGAGTTAATAAGTATATAGAGTATTAGAGATGGTATGTTTCCACAAATTGATTTAATATAGAGAAAATATCCTGTTCTGCACTTTTAACAAAGGTTTCTCATGTTCTTCAGAACAAGTTGAGGTGAACAGGTGTTACCAACTGGATCTCTTTTTTTTTGTGGCTATAAAATGCATAAAAATATAATAAACCAAAGTATGTTTTGTTGCAGTCTGAAAAGTAACAGTTCCTTTTAATTCCTGTTCTGTACAAAGATTTGAACTACTGTAATGTGCTCAGAGTTATGAACTCCTAGAGCACAGTATTGTGCATCAGTGATAATTGCTTTGAGTATCTTGAAATAGTCAAGCAGTTGTGGATGCATCATTTTCCAGACTTCGTGGTAACCAGGTTGAAGTTATGCTTCCATATTTGAAGTGTTTACTTACTTTTCATTTAGATCCAGGTGGGCCCCCAAAAAAGTTAAAACAAAAACGAGTTTTTTTTCCCACTATATCAAGAACCACCTGAAAGTTCAGGCACACAGAAGTGAAAAGTAGTTGGGTGTGTACTCTTGACTTGTTTCACACATTCTGCTAACCTGCTCCAGCTGCTGTTTCTACAACAGCAAGTGTCAGGAGTAAGTTGGGGTAGGGATGTGCCATTTTTAATTTCAGAAAGGGTCTTCCTACATGACTATATTAACATTGGAGTTTTGCTGTTTTATACATGACATATTTGAAACTCAGATTAGAACAGCCTCATTCCTACATCCATGGTAAAAAGTGAGCTCTCCACACCAGTGTGATTGTGGAGTCTTTTTGGAGAAGAGTGGGTTATCTTGCCCTTCTTGGTGGAGATAGAGTAGTTGTTTTTGTTTGCAGTCCTTCACAAATGCATTGGGAGTCAACTCATTTGGCCAGTACTTCAGGTCACTGCTGCGTAAAGATTCTTCTTCCGTGTGCTTTTCGGTAGATTTCTTCTGGCTCTTGTCATGAATGTAGTTTCGGCCATTTTCCTCCGTACGTACTCTAAATTGTGTGATCAGAAAAAGAAAGCCTGCTCTGTGGACCTAGTGCAAAGTGCTCTTCTCCAGATTCTTCCGCACTTTCAAACTTGGCTCCATCGTTGACGTCTTCCTGCAACAACATTGGAGCATCCTGGAGTACATGTCAGTGAATGAGGATTACATTTGAAACTTGGAAATGTTGCCCAGGAAAGCTTCCTGCTGTGACAGGGATCTTTTGTTCCTCCTTTTACACGTAAAATGAAATTTAATTTAAAAAAATAATTAAAAAAAACTCTGAAGGACTAGAATGCACTAAGTTTGGCAGTCTTTAAGATTTCAGAGTGATTTTGATTTTATGTTGCAAAATGACTTTTTTTTTTCTCAGCGGAGTTAGTCTCATTAGTTTATTCCATAAAAAAGGTATTATTTAAACAGCTATGTTTGTTTTTCTTTTTAAAGGAAAAAAAAATGAATATATAAATTTCCATCCAGTGTTTGAAAACTTGAATTTTATTTAAACTTGAAAATGACTTTGCCTTAACTTTTATATACAACAGCTTGGAGTTTATTGCTTCTGAGCCCCTCCCCTAAATGGTTATCAGGAGTGACACAGGGGATTGCTCTGTTCAGCCTGGTGTCACTAGTCTTACTTGGTTTAAAAATAAAAGTACAATACTAGCAGCAAATGATTTTTGTATTATATGAAAGATCTTATTTTTTGTTCTCAGTTTCTTTTTTGTTGAAGAAATCCTGTAAATGCAAATAGTCGATACTGTATTAAATAAGTACACTTGGAAGCGTGTGCTTTGCTTGTACAGTTGTAAATAATCAGAAAATATAAGAGGTACCTTAAAATGATACAATTTTGATCTTGTTGAATATTAATGTTGCTGTTAAGCTGGATGTAGATTTAAACTAAATGTTGTGGTTTGATTTTTCTTTATTTTTCTTTTTCCTCTGGTGTGCTGAATTGAGTCCACCTTCTCACTGCAATGTGAGGAGAAGAACGTTTGATTGTAAATGTCGTTGTCTCATTCCATTTCCTTATTCTCAGTATGCAAGACCTGGATTATTGTAATTGTTGTGTCAGAATAATATGATAACCCCTTTCAAGGTGCAAAAAGTTAGATGTCAGCAGAAGAGCTTGTCACAAAGATGTTCACATCCTCTTGAAATTCCTGTGAGCCAATCTGAAAATGAGTTTAAAATCACTACGGCAAGGTACTGTGCTAAACTGACTCATAAATTACATCCAACCTAGTGGATTATGAAAACACAGTGCTTTATGTACAAGAGTCAAATTTTAACGTACAACCCAAACCATTCCCAATTTTCAGTCTTAACAGCATTTGTGAATCAAAATGCTTAAAAATGTAGAGGAAAAAAATACACATCACTCAAGCCGTTTCCTTGTCAGAAATAAACTCTAATGCACTTCAACTCCCCCCTCCCCCCCCCCTAAAAAATTTCAAATGATACTTCCAGTCACATCTACACTAACCAGCATTTTTGTATACATCTACAATTGTGGACACCAAGTTACCTTATTTCCAGAAGAAAGGGGTTGTCTATCGCATAAAAAATATGCATACTGTGCATTGTCTTGTATTGTTTTAATTACATGTGCGGACTGCAGAGTCATTGTGGCAAAACTGAACTGTGCCATTAAATATATATATATTTTTAATATCTCCTATCCTTACCCACTCAGTGTGGGGAAAAGAGTGTGGCAGTTTGACTAGTACAAGATGTACATTAGGCATTACAATTTTTACATTTCTTGAACTGCTGAGAAGACTAGCAAACCCACAGCTGCAATGAGGAGCACGTGTGACCTCAGTACCACTGACACCTGACATGCAAGAGATCATTATTATAGACAACTGGCACATTTTGGTTGGTCTCCCTGATCTACTGCCATACTCTGTGCCCATGTATGACAATGCCAGTTGTGTTCAAGATGTAGCAGTGCTTATGATGTTGTCACATTACGTTTTGAGGTTTTAATTAAGCTTGGCTCCTGGATTGTGTCAAGTGCGTGTGTGTCTCCTGCGTTTTGGCTTTCTGTTTGCAAAGGGAATATCAGTATGCAAAAAAAAACATATTTGCAACCAAATGTCACAATTCTGTGGATAAAATATATACTGTGATGAGATATTTGGCTGAAAAAGCAATGTGGCGGGGTAAGTGTGGAGGTCAAAAGAACACAATGCATTTGGGCTTAGCAGTGCAAATGTTCTTCTCTTCCCTGGCCCACAGAGTAAAGATAGTCTCGAATGTGAAAGAATAGTGTTTGCTAGCATTATATGTATTATTGCGTGCGCTACAGTTCTGTTCTCCGTTTGGACTATTACTCTTGTGTTACCTATATCTTCATATCAAGTGCAGACCTAAAAATCCCACCTTTCTTTGCTTTTTCAACTTCTCATCATGTGTCATCAGGTAAACACCACAATGTATATTGTGCAGGTTGCAGCTCATTGTGAATTGACCATGTTTGTGAGTGATGCAGTGTAAAATGCACCAGCTGACTGTAATGACGCATACCATTCCCTCTGTATCAACTCGCTGTGATTACTTTTCTTTTGATATCATAGCACATTACACTAACAGCAGTGGACAATCGACAATTCGTTTAAAAAAAAAAAGAAGAAGCTAACAGCAGTAGCAGTTGTTAATGGAGGTTTCTTTATGAGGGCTTTTTGTTTTTGTCTTACTTATTCTTCCATAAGACTGGAATCAAGCATACATGTAAACTATGGGTAATTTAAGTTTCTCTTTTGTGTCATGATGTAAACTGTCTAATTTGAAAAAAAAAATGTAGCTTACTGAAAGAAATAAAGATTTAGGCATTGTTAAAGAAATCTGTTGTCTGTATATGAAACTGAACTGTCTTGGACTTCAGATAGTTTTATTGGACAGTGACATTTGACTTGCATACTATATAGCAAAGACTAAACTATTCTGCCTTAAGTGACTTTTTCTCCATAAGCCAATAACTCATCCTTTACTAGCTAGGAACATTTTCTGGTTCTGTCAGGCTTGCATCCTTTGTGACTGCCTTCTTTTAGTGCACTTTGTTACTCTAAGCCTCGGTTATAGCACAGTCATCTTTGCCAAGTTTTGTCTTTAAGCTTTAGCATTAATTACAGGTACTCCCTGGCTTTCATTAGCTTTTTGTTCCGTGCAACCTTACGCAAGCTGAAATTGACAGAAGTCGAAACAGTGTCATCTGATATGTTTGCACCTGAAACTGTTCATATCATTACTACTGTGTTGAAATACAAAATTAAACTATTACAGTACAACAGAATACTGTATATAAATAAAACTACAACAATTGCAAAACACGAAACGTGGAACTTTGCATGCCTTAAGTCTTAGTGTTGATTTGCTTTTCAGATCATAGCTAATAAGGTAACTTGGAAGGTGCAGCAGAAATTACTGACAATGCCCACAAATCTTTATAATATTAAATTATTACAGACAATGCATGTGAGATGTGGAACAAAGCTGAGGCCACGTGGAACAGTCGAATTTCTATAAATTGGGGACTACTTATGTGATAAAATACCTGCATCTTGACTAACTGGTGTGTTTGACTGTCTAGCTCTCCTCATTCCCTGTGGGTGCCACATGCCAAAGCTATTATTGGTTATGTGATGAGTTGTGCTTTTGTCATGGCTGAGTGTCTTTAACCACCACACTGAAATCATCTAAGAAATCCTGTGTTTCTATTTACAATTCAATCTCAGACAAACAAGGAGAAAATACGTCTGATAGTGGTTTAAAGGTTTTTAGTAGAGTGCTCTGAAATGGAAAAGCTTATGAGTTCCAGTGAATAATTGATAACATTCATAGCTTTGCACCATTTACAGTAACAATTTAAGAATGCGACTTAAAGGCTGAAAGAATCATTACACAAGGCCAGAATTTGTTGGGCACCTTTTCTTGCATTCATTAAAAGTTTTCAGCGCCATCTCAGCTGTTGAATTTTTAGTTTTTAAAGAGGGTATTTTGAATCGGAAAGAAGTTGCTTTTCTTTCCCCCCATAGAAAGCATCCTGTTTATTTTTGGTCATTTCTGGTTTCCTTCTCGGTTTTAAAGGCAGGAAAGAGACATGAATTTCACTACATAATTCAAAACATTAACCTTACAATATAGTGTAATTAAGTCACACAACACATACAGTACAGTAGTTATTATGGCAATTCAAAGAGTTCAAGAATGTTATACTATACAGTACCAGTTGGAATCTCAACTCCTTTTAGACTGTGTATGCATTCGGGTTTGGGTGAATGGTACTGTTTAATTTTGGACAATTTAACACTTTAGTACACATCAAACCATGTTTTGTATGCGTGATGGGACTCTCCGATTGGGATTGGCTTACCCTTCCATTTTAGCCGGTAAGTAACTTTTTTTTTTACCTATTGGTTGTTACTTTTATGGCGTTTTAGATAATTCGAATAATCATATTAAAAATGAGTGCTTGGTTAAAAAGGGCAATGATAATTTACAGAATCTTTTTGATATCCGGTCTTTAAAAAAGTGGACTGTGCCTGGAATGCAAACTAGATAAAACTGCAGCAAAGATTCCGGAACTAAGTGATTTGTCATTCATTTTTGTAATCACGAATCACGTTTTTCTTTTCACGAATCGTATAGCGTCACATTCATTTCCCTCTGAAAAACCTACTGTAAGAACATTGTCTTGAAAAATGTTGACCTCTTTGTATTCCAAACTTCCCAGCTTAGCTGAATGACTTCTGTATATTTTATTTGCATCTGTGGATTTTTATAGAGAGAAACAGTCAATGCATCAGTACTGGAGAGCACTGCCACGTTTCTGTTTTCAGTAATTGTCTTCTGCTATGTTGACTGTTCCAGCAGAGTGGCCATATTAGCCAGGTCAGGAGAAGAGAACTCTTTCAGTTTCCTTTTGGTTGGAAAAGAAATGAGAGAGGCACTCAAATTTTGAATGCCCACCATCTCAGAGATGAGGGAAGAATGAAACATTTTAGTAAAGCTGAAAAAAGCGTCAGTTATGCCTTTACGTGCAAACTGCTCATCTTCCTCCAAACCCAGTATATTTTTTTTAACTTGATGCATTTCAATAAAAGCTAAACTTTTAACAGAGTTTACTCCCATGTCTCTATAAAATGATTATTTATCTCGCACATTGAAATGTAGGTTTAAAATGATTTAAAATCAAACACTTATGTGGATGGTTTTAATGTGATCATGACTAGGCTTTAATAGTTCCATGTGTTAGCCAGTTTCCACATTCCGGCTTTTGAAGTCTGCGTTAATGTACACATCTGGCATTCAGGTTGATTCTATGTTAAGGATCTTAGACCTTAACAATTTGATATTTTTAACTCTTCTTTGTGAGGCCACAGGTTAAGCGTCTGTTTGAATATTTCAAGGAATCTGGTTCAGTGGTATCATGATACAATTTAGGTTTTGCTTTCAGAGATATTGCCTTTCAGTTAGAAACCTTGACAAATTCTAGAATAAACCTTTGTATAGTATTACCTGAAAGAGTGAATTCAGAGCAAGTGGTTAACATCGTCAGAAGGCATCCAGTCCCTAAAAGAAATGGGTAAAACATATTGAGTTTGACAGAGTTCTGGTTCTAGTCAACAGTAAAACTGCTCTTTTATCTCAACTCCTACCTGTGCAATTGCTTAAGTACATTACATTTTAGGTGTAATGATTTTGATTTTGTGACAGACTTAAGATTTGTCATACTTAGTCCATGCAAGTATTTCCAATGGCACACAATTGTTTTTAATTAAAATGTCCAAACAATCTGAAACCAATAAATACAGAAACAGTACAAAACCAGTGAATACAAATAAATGCTAAATTAATAACATGGTGCTTATGGGGGGGGGCGTGGGTTAACCACACAAATTGTGCGAATAAAAATAAACATTTGTCTAAGCTGTCTTTGCACAGACATATCATTAGGCTATATTTCTTTCTGTAGGAACATTTATAAGAAAATGCAACCAAGTATTTTTCAAGGGGATTGAAAACTGCTCAGCCCCACAATTTTTTTTTTTGGCAGCAGCAGTAAGGCCTGCCGGAAAAAAAAAATTGTTGTGCCTAATATTTTTCAGTAGAGTGGAAAATGTCCTTCAGCAGAATTTTCAGACTCATTTGCGAAGACAAAGCAGTTAAATCTGAAAGCACCCTAGTTACATACAGTATGCCCCAGAATGCCCTATTGCAAGACACTCAAAAACCATGAATGGGTAAGTGCTAGGTAATCCTACATGTATGGTAAAGATCAGGAAGATCTGGACTCGTTTGAAACTGTATGGTGTTCTAAGTAATAATGGTTTAAATGAACTTCCAGTTTTTGCAGCAGAAATAAACATTATACCAGACTGGGTACCAATCCTGACCATCATCTAGCTTATCTCCTTTTCTGACCCATATAATGTTGATGGTCAAAGGTCTGAATCCAAGTGGGAGAAAGATATTTCATGAAGAAGAGCCTTGTCCCTTTGTAATACTTGGTTAGACTATTAAACTAGCTAGTGAAGCTAATCTTAATGAGCTATTAATGCAAACGTTTGCAGTGACTAATGCATTTTCAGTGCATGTGGGCACATATGCAAATTACACAAGTGTTGCAATGGATCCCTGAATTTGAAATTGATTGTGAGAATTATAGTGCTAGTTAATGGAAAACACTTTATAAACACTTTACATTTGTTTTCTACAGATCTGCTAAAAAGGGAGGGAAATGCTGTGTTCCACGAGATGGTCCCGCATTTATTTGGGAGAAGAAAAATAATTCAGAAAAAATGTTTTTTCTGTTTTTTAAGCTGTTGACCTGCGATGCTTGGACATTTGCCTGGGATTTGCCCTTTTGATTAAATCGTCAGTGAAACAGGAATCATAAACAAATAATGAAGAAGAATGTTATTTTGGTAAGCAAAAAGTTACCATGTTATGCACGCAACCTGTAAAGATTTTAAGCATCTTCTCTTTCTGAATTTCTTGAAAATTAGGAGAGATCTTGATATCCAAACAAAATGAGGTGTACCATACTTCACAAGCCTCTTTTTTATTGTAGATAATGCCGGATTGTTGGTACACAGCCATAGATTTCGGGGGTTACAGTGAAGTTATGGTTTACTAGTTTCTTTAAATTAACAACAGCTTATGACCTGTGGACCTTTTGACTTTGTGACTTTATACGAGTTCAATGGAGCTAAGGATTAGTTGAGTTAAGAGTCAAGAGCAGAGGCAGAATGAAAACCATACGTGACTGTAGATGTAGGATTGTTTCCCCATGTCCAAAATGGACTCCTCTAAAATTAAATGTACGACTCCTTTTATCTTAAAAGAAACTCTTATTTAGACAGGAGGTACTTTCATTACACAACATTTAATTAACTAAAGTTCTCCAGTAGAATTACATTATTAAACGTGTTATGTCGTTTGAACCCGCTGCTTTGGAGGAATAAGGGTTGAAGAAATGTCATAGTGTAATGACGGCATTTAGCCACAAGGTTGCGATATTTCCAAAGCTAATTCTTCAAACGAGTTTGCTCCCCCCTTCAGAGCCCTGTTTGTGCGATCCCCTTAAGCATAGCTGTCTTTTCGTTAAATGAGAGATTCCTTTTTGTTTCTACATATGCAATGCAAAGATAACAGAAAGAGGCAGTCTCCATGCCAAATCTTGGATCATTTTCTGTAATTCCATTCTCTTTTTAAAACTGCTTTCACAAATATCTACTGATATACTGGTATTACTTTGATTTCCCTGCTATGGCAGTCTTGGCGAATCACAGTCCTTAATGTTAAATAAAGAGCTTTCAGTCGTCAGCAAGTGGAGACCTGG